CAAATGGGAATGTTGATAATGGTATTACGAAAGGTTTTTATTGGTGTAAAATAAAACGACGTCGCGGCAACATCGACAGAACGCACGTTTCAATGGAGAACTTGAAAAGGTGTACGGAAGTATACATCCGCAGAGACCGAATCTTTTCATTCCCGCGAAGATAGAATGCAGTTTAGAGACACAAAAAGGGTGCAAAAGGTGCGAGATGTATCTCTAAGAGATTTAACGCTCTTTGTAACCACCGGAGTGTTCAATTAATATCTTTTTAACTCTCTTCTGGATTGAGTTTACGCGACACGGTGCCCCCGCTATTCAAATAGTCCTGTTTTTCTATCTACGGACGGATCTCTTTTGCTCCTCCGCTGCGAATTGTCTCGAATTATTCCGAGAAAAAGAGAAAATGAGGGACATATCCCTTTCAGGATTACTTTGTGTACTGAATTTCCAATTCTATTGCTCTCATTTGATGTTTCAAAACATAAATCCCATTCGCAGGCAAATCTTTTATTCTTATAGGAAACTTCACAAAACTTGCTCTTTTCGAGAAACCGTCGCATTTTTTCTCAAACTTTACCGAGCACCGATTACTTCTATCTTTCAAACATCATTAGCGCGGCCGTAAAGTGGTACGTACATTACCCGAGTACAATTCGCAGATTTTACGACTTGGCAAGGGTTGGCGAGTAATTTTCTTTATGAATTTGGGGTTGTCTCGCGGGGCCCGAACTAATTAATAATCGTCTGTAATGAATGGCCGTAATTAAAAAAGCAATGCTACACCTCGGATCAATTTTGACGCAATTTGATCCTCATCGAAAATCCCTCCAGATGACCGCTCGTGCTAAATTACGGACCAACCACCCCGTAACCTTTTCCGCGTCGGTCTTGCTGACCGTTGCCCATTAATTTACGTATCCTTGTCAATACACTCGTGTGAAACGGAGAGCGGCATTAATGTAATACAGAAGTTTAAGCCTCATTGCTAATGGACGCATGCTGATCCCTGCATGTCGGTTATCCGAGCCGGATATTGGACTTCATTTCGTCGACAAAAGGTGTTACGCCACCTTGATTTATTGAATGGTTTCATTTCATCGACCCGTTTACGGCTTCCTCTCCGAAAAACACCTATTTTGACACCATTTCCCTTCCACGAAGGCGCCACCCTCACTCCGATCGCAGACTCTCACAAATAACGTAGAAAACTCCAGGGTACCACAGGGTACTCATTCCGAACCTTATTTTCCTTAAAAAAAAAATTCGAGGTTAGCAACTCAATGAAAGGTTGTCTGTCATTCAAGAATGCAACAACTAGTGGGTGGAAACAGCAATTTCTCGGACAAAAGCCAGGTTTTAGTTAGAGAGAGCTACGCGCAGAATTGGTAGAGTTTTTGAAGCTTTTGCTGGCTTCAGAGTTTACCGACGTTTTGGGTTAATTTTTTTGCATTCCGTCGTCAGATGTGAGGTGAATATTAGACGTGTAGTGGGTGGACACCTGATTCGTTCGTTGGTGGTACCTGTGCTGAATCGTTAAACGGCGTTAAGCAGGTGATAGTGTTCAAGATGGCCGGGTTTGTAAAAATGGCGCATCTGGTGGATGCGAGTAGTAGGTGTTAATGTTTCGAGATTTGTACAAGAGTTGGAAGCGAGGTGCATTCGGTTATAGCATAAATCCGTCTTACCGCATAAATTAAAGTATAAATCATGTCGAACAGATTTTATTTACTGTCTCCATTTGGTTTTGTTGCGTGTGAGCGAACGGTTAAAGCGCACGTGCGCTTCTGTATATAAACTGAGCAGTATGTAATGTACACTGCTATCATTAAGTCAGTTCATTGAAATACCGAGACAGCCGCCACTCAATTTGAAAATGTACATGCGCTGCTCAATTAATCCAACTCGAAAATGTTTAGGAAGGAACTGTTTATGTTGCGCACATCGGCCGGGATCATTACCCAAAAGAAGGGAAAAATAAAAAGAGGGCAAGAGGAAAACGCGAGGCTTTTATTTCACTCGACCTCTTTGTCTTGAAGCTTTTAACCTGTAAACTTACGTAACTATGCTAACACCTTCGCTTTCTCCGTACAGAACACAATTGTCATTTCTCATAGCCTCGCATTGTTCTTCTCCGACTGCGCCGACCTTCCAACAATAGCTCTAACTGAATTTGCGTTGATCAAACGCAATCGGAATGGCTCCGGAGATGCAGTAGCGGATCGTGGTCAGCTCAATCAAATGCTAATTCAGCTAGAACAATGAAAAACTTAATTATTTCATTTAAATGTAAATTCTATTATGCGAACGTTTTAATTATGGGCAACACGTCCAGGCTCGTTTTTTTGGAAGCGCATCGGTCGAGGACGAAAGGTTGGAAGTCGAACCTATTTATAGAATTCTAATCGAGTTAGCTACCCCCGAAGACAATAGATTTATGAAATTAGAGAACTAGTCGCTTCGACACAGTAAATTGCTTATTAATGGACACGAAGCACTGGGGGTTACGTTCGACGAGATCGAACGGAACTTTCGCCTAATACCACTTGAAGTAATTCTAAGTTGGATTTCCGCTTTAAATACCATCCGAACCGCCACTTGTTTCGACGTTTGCTCGACGATATCGAAACCTCGATACCACCTCGTGATAATTATCCACTACGGCTAGTAATTTGGTTCGACGAACTCCCCGACAATGTTCTTAGTGTTTTTGCCTTGAATATTTTCCGACTTCGCGTTCGTTTTGCAATCGAACCGACGCGTTTCCATTATATACTTTGTTCGTTGTCGCTCCGTTGACGAGTCATCAATGGAGATTAAACGTTTAGATAAGTCGAGACAAAAACTCGTGGAATTCCCATTCCGAGGCATGACCGTTCGCGTAATGGAACTATCATCACTCGCGGGGACGACGAACGAAAATTAATACCCATTTGTGTCCGACTAACATGACGACGGTCGATTGATAATTTTCCCAACGCAAAAAACAAACAAAAATGCGCGCCCTTAATTGAGATTCTTCCGAGACAAGGAAAGTCGTTCATGCGTAAATCGTTTCGGCCCGTCATGAAGAGCTTGAATGTAGTTGTAGGTACTGCGTTGCCTCGTGTGTCTTAATTGGATATAGAAATGAGTAAACCTTAACATAAACTCCGCACAATCAAATTTTGAACAATATGCTCACAAACTTAATTTCATTCCTTGCGGTATATTGTAATTTGTACATAATAAGTGCGGAACAAAGGCTATTAATTATCAGGAGGAGAATGGTTTCATGAACGTCAAATTTAACTTACGACATTCGCTTTCTGAGTAAAAAGGATACTTTCTCGGAATGGATGGATATCCTATTTCGGGAAGTTTGTGGAGTTGTGGGAGTCGGTTTATCAGCGTATATTGTTGCGTGTTGATTCGGTCACTCAGTATTTTATAAGATGTTAGATTTGAAGCGGGCGACGCCGCCGTAATATAATGTCGAAAAAGCGGCATCTCCGAACCCTGTGTGGGTTCTATTTCGCTTGAATACGTACATCGATGAGATCGCAACTCATTTATAAAACTGATAACGCTGACATGGCCCATGGCTGCGCGATCGATACAAATCACGGTTTCGATGACCCTTCCTTACTCGGCTTACTCTGGACGGCCGATTTTGAATTACTCGACCGCGACAGGTGAACCGTATACTAAAAGTTTTTATATTGACATCAAGCAAGGACGCACGTCGTCTTAGATATCCCTCTGGAGTAGCTTCCAAACATCGAGCAATTAGCGCAGTCACAATTTCTACCGACGTTTACGCTCCTCATCCAATTTACATGCAAAAAGGGTCATTACGCACCTCCGTTCTCCGCAAATCTTAAGATCCTTTATGAATCATAGGCGGGTGCTTGTACTGGAGTTAAAATTATGTTTGACACTTCTCGTCGGATTTTTAGATAAATTCCGCCCCTCTCGATATTCTTCCTGCTTGTTTCGCGCCTTCCTCGGCTCGGCGTTTCCTGCTTATCTTGTACTCTTCCGCAAATTTGGGTTTTTGCCGGTCGCACACATTGTTCGTGGAGAAAAGTTCGACGTGTCGACAGACCAGCCCGCGGGTACGGTCGTAGCAAACCAGCGCAATTAACCGAATTGTGAAAAAACTCCTTCTCAAATGAGATTCAGCTAGCATTCAAATGAAACGGAAATAAAACTTGTTTATCGCGATCTCCAACAGCTAACTGACAGAAAACAAAATAATGCAATTGTTTTCCAGGATCCTCGACGAAAGTTTTATTTTTATTCGAAAACAAAAAGCTCCAATCAGTGGCGACAAATAATCTCAAAGCTGTTTGAACAATAGCATGCGATTGACTTTGTTTTCAGCAGAATCCTCTTTGATAAAATTTTGATTTTGCCGTTCGATAGGTTTCGTTGCCGCGCGACTGTTTTTTTGACGTCTCGGATACAAAGAAAAGAATTGCTTGAGGTTTCGAGTTTTTGTTATTAAAACTGGAAACGTTGTTGTGCCACTCGGGGGTCGTTTAGTGATTCTCCTGATTTAATTACGCAATTACCGAGTTCATCATTTTGTTAAGTGTCTTTTCGGAGCAATTACCTATAGCTACGCCCGGAATAAAATTTCGAGTGTTCGGTTTTTAGGATTGTTAATTCCGTTTAGTAGTAATTTCTGGAAAGATTTGCTCAGACTCGTCGAAAATTAGCGACGGATCGATAGTTTCGAGTTTCGGAACCGCACGTTTTTAACACGACTATTGATCTATCTAAGGTTTTTCTGCTCCCCGGGAGTAGATACAGTCGCTTATCCCTTCATGTTAAAGCAAGGACACCCCTCCTCCTCGGGGACAAAATGAGTAGAGATAACATCGTCAAGTAATGCAATAATAATCTTCTGATCTGACGTCTCCCTTGCTTCAACATTTCCTTTAAAGTGAGAGATTTTCACCAAATCAAGTAGCGATAATTCCAACGATGTAGGTCAGAGTGTGATGGAACGAATGTTTCAGGTCAATGGGACTGACGTAAGCAGCTTCCCACACGAAGATGCAGTTAGGGCATTCCTCACCGCACAAGAACCCATTGTTGTTGAAGTTAAAAGAAGAATATCGGAGTCGCCATCCGAAAGAAGTCCTACTAGTAAACTGATCTCAACAGGTTGCCAAACGGAACTTTCCGGCTTGACGTGGCTCGAAGATAACTCGCTGGACTGTTTGACACATGATATAGACTTGGAGGTGGGTACGGTTTAAATCTGAAGCCCGGTAGCGTTAAAACAGATAAATGTTGTGAGTGTGTTGTAACGTAGGACGTAAATTTTATGATGGTTTTTATTACATTTAAAAGGTCATTCGTCTTCAAGCTGTAACTAATTCCGTTTCTGTTTGTAAATAGAATGTCCATCTTCGTCGTTTAAGTTAATTGTGTTCACTAATCTAACGCGAAGTGCCTCCTAATTGGCTCGATTAAGACATGGCTCGAACGTTTGCCACCACTGTCAGGTGTGCCCGAAGTCTTACGCGTGTTCGTCGACAATGCAGGCGTTGTTGCAGCGAATATCTGGAAGTTCGGATGATTCGAATGCATTACAATTATTACAGTCTGATTAAACGTACATATTGAGTGACAAGAGATGAGTTTTGTTGTGACTACCGAGCGTATAAATCTCAACACGTACTCACTCGGTGCGCGCAATCTGAAATGTAGCATACAGACATCATGAATATCAACAGTCCGGACGCAGCCCTCGACGTCCTGTGGGAAATCAAATGGTTCTAACATTGACATCGGATTGATAGTGTGGCTGCTGGCGACTTGTCACGTGCCTAATGTGTCGAGCCCATCAACAATTCAAAAGATGCCCACAAATGCATCCCGATCATTTCTTTCGCGCCGTTCCACAAATTCTATCAACTAACGCACGGAAACTAAATTACATTTGAGGCATCCCAGGAATTACAAGTATCTGTTTCAAAGAAACAAATTACAGGTGTGGAAATTGGAAATGATTCGGCGTCAAGATCTCGATCGGATAAAAACGCGATCGACCTGTCGCCGAGCACGACGAAATCCGTTTTGCCGTGATTATTTTCCACTGTGCGCAAATAAGATGCTAACTTTTAATAACGCTGGCGATGATCCTTGAAAACTTTTACCAAGCGGAGGAGCTGATCATTTCCATGCAGGGGCGGATTCGGCACGTTCGTCTCCCTTCCACGCACGACGAAAGGAGACGCCCAAAATTATCTCCCACGCAATATTCTACCACCACAATACTTTCACTATCTTCTGGAGAAATTTTCAAGGATCTCAACTTTGTCCCATGTCGTTCCAGAGACCTTCCTTGTCTACTGTTAGTCAAAGAATACCTAATTGGGTCGCACCTTTTAGTTTGAAGATTTTGTCGAAACTTTCGTTAGGGTTCTTTACCACCAGAAGACCTATCGAGGCATCAGCTTCAAATCCCCGTCTATTTAAGTCGCTCTTTTTAACTTTCGGGTAGCCCCGTTAGGGTCCAACGCCGTTTCGCTCAGTGTTTTTTACCACCGGAAGACCTCCGTTCCTTTCTTCTGGTCAAAGGAACAGCTAATTAGGCATCCCCTTCAATTCCCTTCCATCTGGGTGGCCCCTTTTAGCTCGGAAGTATTTTTCCGGTATCTGGGTGTTTCGGTCCGACGCCGTTTCTATATGTTTACTGTGCGAGGCGGTGGTGGCGCCGAATCTGTCACCACCATCTAACTCCTAATTCGACAAATTAACGGCGGCCATAAATAAAGGTGGGCTTCTACACATGGAACATTTGGTACAAATTTCCTAAATGAAGGGCGTAAATTATTCCGCCTACTGGAAATTGGAATCGGTACGTCCGCTTCATTTCAAAACGAAAAACTTCGTTATTACAATTCTGCTTGCGGAAGGAATTTAATTTTTGATACTCTTGAGTTCTGGTGATGATTTCGGACGCGGTCTCGGCGGAATACCGGAAAACAGAAGACGGTGAAAGAACACAGCGACCCGTTACACGAGGTAAGGTCATCGAAAACGGTGTAATTACGAATCGATTGAGTAATCAAGTGAACTTAGGTGTACGAGTGGTTGGCGGGAATTTTCATCTTGATGCACATGTCTGCGAACTGCGATAATGAACAGGTTAACAGCGGCGGCGAAATACAGAAAGACGGAGTGCCATAAATCAAGGAAGGCCACGTAATACGATAAATAAATCAGCATCAGCAACGGATTCAAAACTCCCCGACTCAATCACTTTTATGGAAATTTTAAATTTCCAAGAACGTCTTTTTTATTAAACGGGAATTGAACATAAGAAGTCCTCGTTTAATTCGTCAAAAAACCTATTCCCACGCATGAATGAAGGCGCGTTTTACAGTTTCTTGGTTTCTACGTCCAATCTCTTTAAGAAATCTGACTTACTCCGGGGGAAGTGTCTTAGGAAAACAATCTCGGAATTATCCCCTTTAAAGATTTTATAAATAAGTGCTTAAGACTTTGCGTCGCTGACCCGGACCTAATTTCAATCATCTCGATGAAGCGCTTTCGCCTTTAATCTAAAATTTCCTCAAACCTTGTAGTAAAATTTTCTTCTTGTTTGCAGGAAGTGACGTTACGAAAATGTAGCAGCGACGAGAAGCTGGGACTAACAGTTTGCTACAGCTCCGGCTCCGAAGCCGACACTTGCACGGAAGTGTATATTAGAGATATAGCACCCCAAAGTGTCGCCGACAGGGATGGCAGATTACGGCAAGGTGATCAAATTTTACAAGTCAACGGAAAAGACGTCGCTAATAAAGAAGAAACTGAATCCCTGTTCGCCGAGAACAAGAAAGCTGTGACTTTATTGGTTAGCAGATGCTATAATAGGGTGAGCTTCAACTTTTCGATCCCTTTAAACTTACGGTATCTCTGATATCGCCCATTCCAACTCTTCTTATTTCCGCTTCTCATAAATAGATGGCGTTACTTACTTAACGTTCAAATCCTCTTCCAGAGCGAGGAATATTTGGATGCTGAACCCATCGACGCTATATCTCCCGGAGGGCGCAGCGCGGCTTACCAGAACAGCTTGATAGAACAATTAGTACAACAACAGACCGAATCTCAGCATTCCCCTCGAAACGATGCGGCTCCCAAAGTTCCTCCACATTTCATCCAAGAGCGACTCAATCTCACCAATAGTCTAGTACGTTCCAAAATGGATTCCATTAACCACGAAATATCGGAACTCGACCATCGAATGCAGAACATCCAGTTAGTCAAGATCGATAAGAGGAAACCCCCGCAGTTACCGCACATACCGGCTCCGCCCGAGTCAGACACTGAACACATCTACGAGACCATCCCCGAGTCCGTCGACTCAGAAATGGAACCCATTTACTCTTGCCCTTACGAGGCAGAAGAGCACAACATGATCGAACAGTGGCTGAAGGCGCAAGAGCAGGGCTGGAACTCTCAAAGCAAGGAAGCCGCCGCCAAAGAGAACAAAAAACAGCGATGTAAGTCATCAAAAAGTAACAGCAGTGGTGAGGAACATGAGAATAGTTCGAGTGCTTACAACACCGGTGGTTCTTGTAATAGTAATCCTTTAACTTTCGAGCTAGCGTGTAGTCAGGATTCGAAGCAGAAGGATACCTACAGGTGAGTACCGCGTAAACCGCGACGCATCTAAAACGCAGCTGTTACAGATCGACGCTTATTTTGTGTCCTCCGCCGGAGAAAGAAGACGTTCCCAAAGACAAAGAGCAAGTGGAGACTTGCGACGCGTGCAAACAACAAGCTAGTTCCAAGAAGAAGACTAAAGCGGTAGCGAAAACTAACAGTCCGTCGTCACCTACTACTAGGTTGGGGGCGGGCATCACTCCCGCCCACATTCTTTCGGATACCATGTACACAAACGTAGCCAACTTGCAGCAAACCATGCTTTTGCAACAGCAGCTTTTCAGACAAGCTTTAGTCCAGAATACGATCGATGTAGCGGCGAAACCCACCACGAGTTTCACTTCACCTAGTCTAAGTCAGTATCAGTTTGTGAGCGGCTCACAGGTACCACCCTCTCGACTCCGTCAAAGCACAAATTTCTTTACACTCTGTTTCCAGACTTATACAACGCAACCAGAAACCGCTACTTTAGAAACCCGAATGGAATGGAAAGTCAAACGCAGGCCAGACGGTACTAGATACATCGCGCGGCGACCAGTCAGAAACAGGATCTTGAAGAATCGAGCTCTGAAAATCTCTGAAGAAAGAGCTGGATTGACGACTGAAGACGACACCATTTCTGAGCTAAAGGTACGGGTTGAGGGGTATTGACAGTGTGACGGCTTTTGGTTTCAGATCGGGCGGTACTGGACAAAGGAAGAGCGCAAGAAGCATCTAGAGAAATCCAAAGAGAGGAAGCAGAGGCAGGAGATTTTGATGGCGTCGAGGAACATCGAAGAGAATGGCGAACTGGTGGTACACAAGCCTGTGGAGAAGGTTCATTCTTTTTCGTCGAAGAAGGCAGCGAATAATCTTGATAACACGGTGAAGAAGCATAAGAGTAAAAGGGTGCATAAGGAAGGATATGATAATTTTCCAACGGTGCAAGAAATGATCGTGCACGGACCCAAAGTCCCCACTTCCAACAGCAAGATGATGGGACTGTTGTCCGTGACAACTGTTTAATTTAATCGTTTATGGAGCTTGCTTTGTATCCACTTATTGCTTTCCTTAGGCAATTTTAAGCTAATTCCAATTTTCAAATATTTACCAAATACATGAGTGAATCGATTTGATGATTTTTATGTGAGAAATTTGTTGCCTATAGTATCCCAATGTGATGTTTCTAAGTTAGTGTACATATCAGATAAATTACTATAAATATATTTCATAATTATTACCTATTTAGATGTTTAGAATGTTTAAATACGTGTGTGTAAATAAATATTATAATAAACGACGTTAAATGCAAACGGATTTTTCTTTGCCTTGGCACCAACGACAATGTGACCGGAACAGGAGACAAGACTTTGATTTATTAGTTTGACCAGGGGTGCATAAGTCACAGACGTTACAAAAGAAAGCGAAAATTTTGTGTTTTTTTGGAGGAAATGTCATTTGGCGCTAACACGTGCCGATATATGAGTGGTAGATTAATTGCCGTCTCTGTTCTCCTAATACCCAGCAGGAGCTAATATCGATTGCAGATCCGAAAACGTGGAAAATAAAAAACACGAAGATTTGTCTTCTTGGGAGTGTTGGATTTTAGGTTATGGAAGTTTCGAACGAACTAAACGTTGGCGCGTAAGGGAAGGAATTTGTACTCGAGCGAAGGGTAAACTTGCCCTTGGCTGGTAGATGGCGGCTGTGTTGACTTCAGCCCGAAATTCCATAGGGGTCTTCGTGGAAAAAGTGCGTGCAACAATTTGATAAATGACTTTCTATTACGAGTAATTTTCTACTTCTTACTAATGTCTGGCGGAAGTAATGCTGTTTACCGAACGAGAAGAAGAAGGATGTGCTTTACATTTTGATGCAAGCGGCTTAACGAGGGCCTCATTTTTGCAATTTTATAGATGAGGGAGACAATAAAGTTAACATCTTGGATTAATAGAGTTTCGCCGGAGGGAATCGAGGTACTATCTCTTCAGCGTAGTCCCTGGAACTCCGAAAATTAAATCGATATAATTATAACCAAGCGACCGTTTGTCCCATTTTCTTGTAATCTCTGCCAATCGGGACCAATTAGGGAACTATATATGAAAACCCTCGCTAAGTAGGAAGTAGCGCTGAATAGATGGAAAGGTTTGTTTTCGTTTTTGACGGTTCCATTATCTAAAACAAAACCGCGAAATAGCTTTATATCGTGCGCTGTACATTTTATCTAATAAAAGAAGACGACAGCATGCCTTTGACCAATTCGTTCGGTAAGTTATAAAAGTCCATTATTGTGTCTAAAAGAAAAGAGTTGTTTGTGCTTAGACATCTGTAGAAGCACACATAAGAGAGCTTTTGTGCGATTAGTGCGTGAACAATAGTTCCATTCCGACGCCGCGGCAGATATCGTATTGCAGATCTCTGTCTTCGGATCACAAACACGACGGCTTTTTTGTCGATCCGCCACCGCACACGAAGAAGGTGTTCCGGAAGGGTGCTATTTTTGGATTAATTAGCGTTATCGGATCGCAAAAATGTGCCCGTATTTAGGTTCTGGTTTGAATGAATACTTTGGAAGTTGGGAGCTTGGCCAAGAGTGAAAGCAATTAATTGTAAACTATTTGATCCCTGCTGCTTCAGAAGAAGTTAACAACTTGGGAAAGTACAGACTTCATCATCAAAATATCTTGCAGGGTATATTACATAGCTGGTTTCCAGCGAAAACCCCTTTTTAGGCTTATTAATGGGTCGTTAATACGGCAAATTCACAAAGTCGAATACATGCTCTATAAAAGTTTGCCGGAATGGCCCAAGTTATTCAAATGCCGGATAGGACGTTATAGAGTTGATGGTAATATCATTGTGTAACGGGGCCGAACATTATATTGATATACGACATCATTGAAGAGAAACTCTATTATACAAATCAATATGCGCTGAAAAATATTTCAAAGATCTCGGAATGTAATTTATCTCGGCGTTAGCTTAAAATATCGGACAAATTCCTTTTATTCGATTTAAGAACGAAAACATTACACTAAATCACTTAAATGCCATGTTTTATGTGTTCGGTAATTGCAGAGACGTGGGGTATTATGTAAAAACGGCAACATTTCGCTACGGCGAAAGTATTAGCTAATCGTATTTTCGACTACACGAGTATGTAGAAATTACTCATAAATATTTAACTTCTACGTCATATTGTTGAGTAGCACGCAAATGGAAATCAAAATGCGCCGCGACTGAATAAAATAAATAAAAAATTGAAAAATCTACGAAAACTGTTTTCCATTTCTAATTGAAACGCTAGATCAATTAGCGATAGGTTTCATTTCAAAAATCGCGGGCGTTTTTGTTCGTAGAACCGGTTTATTAGCGGGAGTGATGTCATGCAATCGAGTGAAGGTGTCGGTAATGCATTTCGGACAACATTTTGAGAGTCCCTCGAGCCAATGCCGCGTGTTGAGAGTCTAGTGAAGTGTAAAATCGATATACACGTACATGTCATATATCGCATGCTATAGCGATAAAATATTGCAATATATACGTCAAACGTACCAGTGCCTCAAAAATCAACGTATTGTAAAAATCGAGAATCTACACCAGATTGCACCCGAATATTAGACGATCGCCATAAAAACTTTTTCATTTAAATGTGGTCCGCCTTTCACGCATTCATAAAACTCCATACATCGTTAAACTACAAAGTAAAACGTTTTATTAACGCGATGCTATAAAAATTCACTAGATTATAATGTTAGTTGCACACATCCACCATAATCGACACATTGTAAAAGCTCCATTTACCGTGTTCGTTTTTTGCGGGCTTAAAGTATTTTTTAATGATGATTATTTAAAAAGCATAAAATTCTTTTTGAAGTTCACTCGCCGAGGGTGGAAGTAAGTTATGCGGAAAGATTAAAGAGAAGTTATTACGAAATTAAGAAGAAATTTTGATCCTCTTGACGAACAAACTGGAAGAAAGCATGTTAAATTAAACATCGTCTTATTATTACAATATGTAAGGTACAACTTTTCAACTTTCAAAGCTCTGCTTCTGTTTTTCTCGATTACTGAATTTTGCTCATCACTTCATATTCTAACTTCATCCAATGTATAACTTTCAGAGCTTTTATGTCCCACCTACAGAAAAATTAATAAACATCAATTTCGCAAGTCGAGCACTCGCTTTTGACTTCAGTTTTACAAGACATAAAAGCAATACAAAAAGCATCACTTCGTAGACACGAACGAAAACCAAACGCTAAAAAGCGCCGCGATTCCGACGTTCTCCTGCAAAAATTCGTCGAAAATAAAAGAATAACTTACGATGCGCTAGAGGCATTACGTGAAAATTAATTTCTACGACTTCAATTATGCGAAGAGAAACTTTCATTTTACAGCGATAAAACTCGATCGTAATCTTTTTCTAATAGTGTGAATTAAAAACTAAAAAGGTTTGACTTTTCAAACTAAATAATTTGCTGGGAAGATTCAAGTCTTACCTGTACTGGCTTCTGCGATACCTGTCAACGTAGGGACCGCAACGTGCCGTGCCGCCTGAAAACTAGAATCCGCAAACCCGTAAATACGTTGGATAGGAACGCGGGTTTTAGGAAGCTATATCTTCTGTGAGGAATGTTATGGCGCGTACCCCTCGGAGCTGTAAGTTTTTGCATATTTTAATTGATCCCATGATACTATAGCTTCTCTTGGATTGCTTTCTTTGCCTTCTAAGGTTCGAGCTGGATAGCGCTGACGGTCGCAGCAAAGAGACAACGTTTATAGATGTCCCCTTTGCAGACAATTCTGGGATCGATTTCAAGCCTCACCATGACTTTACCTATGGATGGATTCTTTGTGAAGATGGTTCTAACTTGAGACCCGATAAGAAGGCACGATTGTAGCTCATGTGTGATCGATATTAAATAATAGGGTTATCTGTGTCAAGAAATGTTCTTTCAGAGTGTGACAAGGTTAAATACGTAATTGTAAAAGTTGCGATGTGCCAAACCAAAGAGAGGAAGCAAAAACAAATCATAATATACGTAAATCCAGATCCAGCACGAACAGATCCAACCAGCTCGAATAATCTCATGAGGATGAAAGCTCGGCGTATCCCGAAAATGCAAAATACTGGTCCGAGTGACCGATAAAAAACTGCATAGTATAACAAAAATAGAAAAAACATTTCAAGCAATCCTTTCTCTTTTTACCCCTTGACCCAAAATCTCCGTGCCCGACATACAAATTGAACGTAAAGGCGGCAAACATTGTCCAGTATTTTATTTTCACCGCAAAGTACTGGGCCGGAGGGTAAAGCATATTTCCAGGGCACCTAGCAGTCGTAACCATGAACCGAATACCGAATTGCGGTAATTGATAATTGTATTTGCTTCAACATTAACAATAATTTAATTTCTTAATTGTTAATTCCCACTCCCTTGATATTTCCGCAACTTTTCTGTCGCAGCCACGAAAAAACGTCTCAAGGGGCGGGAACTAGCCGTGCTATGCATAGATTAGTTAAGCTCGTCAACTTTTAGAAATTAACGTAAACTTGTCGTGCATTTGGAATACTTGTTGCGGAACTGCTAACTTCCTTTCCTACGTTACTTTGCTCCATTACGACTTTATATGGATACAAAATACGCGAAACATGTCATATTTTTTGAATAAAATTTAAACAAGATCTCAGTTCCATTCGTGTATTGTGGTTTAGACCTGCACGTGTAGACAAGTAGATAATAAAATATTTTTTATTGCCGTGGGCGTATCGTTTTTAGGGACCGAAATCCCATCATATTTACACAAAGATGACGAGTGATGAACGATATTCATACAAATGGCGCAGTCATTAGGATCCTCAGTCGGTCGAGAAAAAAGACAGCGTAGCTACGTGTAGTTACGTGCTCGACAACGTTCTACGACGATATTGCGTCGGCACATAGCAAATATGTTTGAACCATATTGTAAGATGGCGTTGTGTAAACGGCTTCTTTGAGTTCAGCCTCAAGCAGCTTCGCTTAGAGCGTTTAAGGTAGTAAATATTTGGAAACAAAGTAACTTTAACGTGTGTGATCTCAACCATGAAATCTAAGAACCGTCCCTTATTATTCAACTTTAACGATAGCCGAGGGTAGATTTATGTTTTGGCGTATTTATCTTACACATACCACATGAAATTCCCTTACGCCAAGAAGCTTTCAGCGTTTAATTACAATAAGAATCTTCCCGAAGTATTTGACAGGGCATTGTTCCTAGATTTATTAACCAGTTAACATAAATATTTCCTTCT